CATATGCCGGCTAGACGCCAGCGGGCCAGGAAAGGTCCGCTCAGTGTTGGCCGACTGTTTCCACCTTCCTGTCAGAAAGCGCTCAGGGCTCAAAAGGTTCCCGGGAGGCAGTTCCTGCCTAAGTCCGGGCGCTAAAGAAAGGCAGGGGTGAATTCACTCTCCTCAAAAGTCCGGTCGGGTATGGGCATGGCCGATAGTGTATAAAGAGAGTCAGTTGTTCGACACCGGTATTGCATTTTTTGCTTAGGAGGGCGGCCTCTGCCAGGTGGTCGAGGAACTGGCATCAGACGATGCTCCACCACAATCTGGTCTATGTCCACTTCGCCATCCATGGTTGGGGTCAGCATTGATCTCCTGGAGGGAAACTGATCTGTAGCAGCGAAAGGTGCCAGCTTGGATGCATGGAAAACAGGGTAAGTACGCAAGCGTGGAGGAATGTGAATCACGTATGAAGGCCCATCCGGTTGATCCCCTACAATGTATAAGATCTCCTAGGGCCCAAAGTACTGTGGCATCGGTTTTCGTGAAATCCCCATCTCCTGACCCAGTTCAGATGACTTTACCCAGACTCCATCACCTACCTGAAAGTTAAGAGGACCGTCTATGTTTATTCTCAGATGCGATCATAGCATCCTGAGACTTCCTAATATGTTAAACGGCCTGCTGCAGCATCTGTTCATACTTGATAGCAAACTCTATGCTGCCAGGTGCTGCAGTGGGTTGCCTTTCTGGTAGCAGAAGATCAAGTGCACTTCTGGGCTTCCAACCAAGATGCAGCTGGTTGAAAGTCATATCGATGTTGTACAGGCTGGGGACGAGAGGTAACTTCTCGTCCCAGTCATCCTGACTTGGCTTAATATAATGCCGAAGCAGGTGTACTACCCAGTTCATCTGTTCTGCCTGGCCATTTGACTCAGGGTGATTCCCTGATGTCATTTGGAGCTTGGTAGCCATCTGTTCAGCTGTTCGGACTGTGTTTCCCTTCTACCGACTGGCGCGAGGAAACTGCCTGGACAAAATCGACAGCCAAGGGCCTCTCGTGATTTGTTAGGCCCACCTTCACTTAGGGCTGGCACATATGCTGCAGGGGGGCCCTTGGGCCTGCCGAGGACCCATATCCTCGCATTTTTTATAACCTCCTTTTTTTTTTTTTGTAAGCCTCTTTCAGCCAACCTAATGGAAAAAGGCCTGGGAATTTCCACGCTGCTCGGACTGTGTTTCCCTTCAACCAACTGGCGTGACGAAACTGGCTGGACCCCAAATGCAAAATTTACAGCCAAGGGCCTCTCGTGATTTGTTAGGCCCGCCTTCACTTAGGGGGGGCACATATGCTGCAAGGGGCCCCTTAGGCCTGCCGAGGACTCATATCCTCGCATTTTTTATAACCTCTTTTTTTTTTTTTTTGTAAGCCTCTTTCAGCCAACCTAATGGTAAGAACACGGGCTCTCTGTTTTGTATGGCGGTTTCCCCTACATGTCCAGAATATGTGTACCATTTAGCTACCAGGGCCAGGTAGCTCTTTTTTTTTTTTTTTTTTTTAAAAAAAAGCTATATTCTTCTCTCAATTTCACCTCTTTTTTTAGCTTTCACCTATCCTTCATTTTTCTCCTCTTTTATTTATATTTTTTTAAACCACCACCACCTCTGATCCTGTTTTTGCCGAGCCTGACTTTCACAACGCACCAGGAGGGAGATCCCACTAACGATGTATGTGGAGTAGTGTGACGGTTGCGGGACGTGCGGGCGACATCTGTGTGGCATCCTTTACTCTGCGATAAATATTGAAAAAACAGAAATGCCTTAATTCTGACAACACAATGTTGTCCACCCGCTGTGAACTGCGGTCAGCTGTCAGGTTGTGGATCTTCTGATGATTCCGCTGGTATGTTGTGCATGTGGACGGTTCATGGACCATGTACATGACGCCAACACACATTTGTTAACGTTCCACAACGAGAGGCTTGAAATGACAGACAAGTTGTGGAAGACTCCGACATCAACTGACATCCCTTCATGATGAGAAAAGGGGAACATTTTCATTTTCGGCCTCTTTTGACGCATGGGCAACGATGCAAACGTAAGTGGAAGGTGCGTGAAAATCCAACCAAAAAAAGTTGGTATGATTTTCACGCACGTTCATGACCCCCAGAGGAGCACCGCAACAAAAGCGAAAGAAATGCCACCCAATGGGAGCCCCCCAAAAGTCATATGTTCCCCCGCCCCAAAAACCAAGAAAAACAACACCACTGATCACCGGTCTCACCAATGGCGCCGAAAGGTCACACGCCCTATCCGCTACTCCACATACATCGGTAGTGGGATCTCCCTCCAGGTTTTGCCAAGCCAGGGGAGTTTCATCCAAGAAGAAACAAGGGGGGGGGGGGGGGGAAAAAGAAAAAGAAAAAAACATCCCAAACGCCACGATAACTGCCAGGTATGTTATATGAGGTGCTCCAGTGACTGTGCCCTCAGTGAGGGCGTGTAGGGGACAAACACGGAGGAAGAAAAACAAAACAAAAAAAAGCTCCCTTATGCTGTGATTAAGGGCGTAACAGGATGCTACAGCATCGAGACAGTAATGTGCCACCCGTGAAATACGCCCTGCCTGGCTGGCAGGGCACTAAAACAACATCGGAACAAAATCAAAACAAAACAACAAAGCAAACTCTTCTACAAAGTGGCCAACTTCCACCCTCAAGAGGAACTTCCCCAACATCCCTGGATTTGAAACTTTTTTTTTTTTTTTTTAATTCTGTCGGCGTCCCCCAAGCTACTAGATGGACTTTGCTTTTGCCTGGGAAAGGTAGTGGTGGTTTAAACCACCAGTACCTACCGGTTGTCAAGGCCCGTGGCTCAGGCTACCGGTAGGCCGGTCCTTGCGGAGCCTCGACTTTATTGCTGAGCCTCGACTTTATTGCCGAGCCTTGGGCAACCGGTAGTACACAACAGCAAAAAAGAAAGAAAAGAAAAAAACAAAAAAAAACGAGGACAACAATCTGAATAAATAAAAAAAACAAAACGAAATCACGATTCAGACGTTTCCATCGAGAATGAATCTTCCTGAGCAAGAGAGAGAGAGAGAGAGAGAGAGAGAGAGAGAGAGAGATCACTTACACCTCGCTCTCTCCCTCTCCCTCTCTCTCACTCATGAAATGAGAATGAATCTTTCCGCGATAAGGCGGAAGATTCATTCTTATCTCATCAGAGAGAGAGAGAGAGAGAGAGAGAGAGAGAGAGGGCGTCAGCCAGTGTGT